AGGAGAGGTTGGAAACTGTGATGCCCGCAAAAAGCACGGCAGACAGCGCCGATCGTTTTTGCTTGGCGTCAGCCGCGTTCCTACCGCCGCGTCGTACTTCGTCCTGGTACGTCGTTCTATTCTCCCTTCCCCTCCACCTCTCTCTCTCTTTTTCTCTCTCTCATACACACACACTCTCTCTCTCTCTCTCTCATCCTCATGGTTCTCCTCTACTCTCTTGGTCTACCCTTCTTCCACATCCCCATCCCTATTTCAATCCCAATTCCCATCCCCATCTTTCTCTCTCTCTCTCTCTCTCTCGATTTCCTTCTATCCTGTACTCTGCTGATGCTTTCGAGCTTTCCATCTTCGTCTCTCTCTCTCTCTCTCTCTGTCTCTCTCTCTCTCTCTTTCTTTCTTTCTTTCTGTCTCTCTCAAATCTTCACTCATCTCCACCTCCTTTTCTTTCTCGGACTCTTTCCCTTTCTCTTTCTCTTTCTCTTTCTCTTTCTCTTTCTCTTTTCCTTCTTCTTCTTCTTTTTCTTTTTCTTCTTCCTCTTCTTCATCCCATGCGTTCTTCATTCGCCTCGGGATCGCACAAACGAATGGGATTACCTCCACCTTCTACGGTTTACGCGCCCAAGGAAAATGGATTACTTACATCGCTTCGCACGAGAACGTTACAACGAATCTATCCTTCCAACTGGATCGGGAATATCTGAAAATCTGCGTTAATCTTTTGCCTAACTTCAATCTCTGCTATTATTCCTTTGGGGTTTTTTGTCCTGTTTCCATCTTCAATAGCTTTGTTTTGTAATCTAATCGTTACCTATTTAGTTATATTATTTTAAAATTTATCATATCAGGATATATATATATATGTATATACATACACGTGCATATATATAAATGAAGATAACGCTTACGTAAAATGAATTGTTTATTTACAATTAAATCTAGGACATTTAAAAATTATTATCAACCTTTGTACCAACTTCAACCTCGATTGTTATTCTTCTGTCCCTTTTTTTTCTTTTTTGCTTTCCGTTATTGTTGTTTTCTTCTTTTTTTCAAGCATTCTATTCGAATCGTTAGATATGCAAAAATTATTTTTAATTAATCAGTAAGACAGATATATCCAGTTCATAATACTCGGTGATGAAAGGGAGATAGTAAAACGACTCGACGTGTTATATATAATATTTTTTTTTCTCATAGATATCAATAGATCAAATATTTATATATTCATTATTAGAGTAAAAAAATTGAATTGAATAACTATAGCCTTGAATTGATTTACAAACTTTATTTATACAAGAGCCATTAACAATACGCGTAATTAACTCATTATCAAATATATCATCAATTTATTGAAATATTTCTATTATTATTATTATTATTATTATTATTATTATTATTATTATTATTATTATTATTATTATCATTATTTTCTTATGATGTACTAATCTAACGTTATTTGTGTCAGATAAAATAAATGAAAAAAAAATTCGTTTTTAAATATATATACTTTATCCATTCTTATATTTATTCATTTATATTTAATGAACGGAGAAACAAATAGGAAGATAATTTTTCGATAGATATATGAGAGTATCGATTGGATAAGAATAAAGGAGAAAAAGCATAATCCGTTAATTAATTTTTCCATTCATTTAAAACGAGACGAACGAAAGGATCAATGCTGTAAATACATGTCTGTAAATACACATAATGACTATAAATACAGTCATTGTTGCATGATAACTCAAACGAGATCGTAAGATAAAAAAATAATAACAAAAAAAAGAATGAAGAACCGATGAATATATATATATATATATAATCGAAGTAAAATCGATTGGATTGCCGAGACTGATTTTGAATCTAAAGAAAATCAATGCTTTAAAAATAGATTAATTATATTAATTCGAAGGAGTATCTATATAAGAAAAAAAAATAATTCAGGAAGGATTGATAAATATATATATCGAAGAAAATTTGATCTGATATTGTCTAGTCTACGTTTTAGGTGATTCAATGAAAGGAAAACGACGACGATTCTCCTTCGATCTCGTACGTTCTCTTAACAGCCTTGGAACTCCGTATCCTCGCGCTCCTTCTTAAGGACATAACTGTGGCCCCTGACAGCCTTGACTAATGGTCGTCCTGCATCCGCCCTCGGTCTTTATATCAGTAACGCTAACATGTTTCCCCTGATATATATAATATATATAATATATAATATATAATATATAATATATAATATATAATATATAATATATAATATATAATATATAATATATAATATATAATATATAATATATATAATATATAATATATAATATATATTATATATATATATTTTTGTTATTTACGATGTATAAGAATAAAATATCATATATACATATTATATATATTCATCAAATATATGCACGTTTATATATATTTATCATATATATGCATGTGTATTTCACATACACTTTCAAACAATTCACAAGATTCATCTTGTTTTCTTTATCCTTTTTTTTTTTTTTTTTTTTTTTTTATAAATAGACAACATATATATATAATACAATTTACTATCCTAATTTTCTTTTTGTTTGCTAAACATTTTTATTAATATATATTGAAATAATAAATGAATTTTTCTTGTCGATCAATAAATTTCAATCGTGTCTTATATATAACGACTGTTATTTTCATAATTATATCATTTAATTAATTTGTTTCTCATCAAATAAATCAAATAAATGAGAAAATAATGAAAATAACTATTACGTCGTAAAGTAAAATTTTCTCAATCGTACTCTTTTAATATTACTACTATTAACTAACGTTACTAATATTTGTAACACGAGTCTACTCTAATTACATCGCTCCTTAATATAACTTCAAAATGCTGTAACGCTTTGCCCACGTAATTAAGAAAATACTAGATGAATATCTGTTGACTCTACGGCGTAATTTTCAAATCTAACAGAAACCTCTCTTTCGTATCAAAGTTTACGAATTAAGCCATTTTATTAATAAATAACTTTGGAATTTATAATACAAAGAATATTTAGTCTCGTTTATTTATATATATATATATATATATATATATATATATATATATATAAATTTCAACATAATTTATTTAAACGATTCAATAAAAATTTAATTAAGAGAAGTTGTTTACAAATTATCCAAGTGTTTTTATTGAATCGATTAATAAATATCATCGGAATTCGTAATAAAGAATATTAGTATTTTCTTTTTATTTGTTTTATAAAATACTAACGATATCAATATTATCTATTAACTCAATTGAAACAGAACTACTTTCGCAGAAAATAATTAATAAAGACAAATTCTGTAGATTACATTCAAAAAATAAGTGTAGGTAGAAAAAAAAAAAAAGAAAAAGAGAAAAAATAAAAGAATAAGAAAACAAAGAATTAGAAAAGAAGATAGCAAGGAGAGAAGAAATGTAGAAATTATCTCACGATACCAAGAAGAATTCAACGTAATCATTGCTCCTCTAACTCGTTTCTAGAACGAACCTAGAGAGAATAAAATCTTTCTAAGAAGTCCTTTCCTTTTTATATATATATATATATATTTTTTTTTTAGTTCTTTTCTCTTACGATAAACCATTTCTGTCAGGAAACGAAGAGATCGTTCCAAGTGGGACTCGAATTTCTTCCTCTTTCTCTCTCTCTCTCTCTCTCTCTCTCTTTCTCTCTTTCTCTCTTTCTCTCTATCTATCTATCTATCTATCTATCTCTTTTTTTCTTTCTCTTTTCTCGATCAGTGGTCATCTCCTAGAACGATTCGTGCTTCTCACGAATCGTGTATTGTAAATCGTCGCCGATCGAACCCTTCCTTCGATGCCCTTACGAGAGACAGTGCACGACCGTAAAACGTTCTGCGACCCTCGTATATTAGTTGTACGAGACGCTGGAATGTGCCTTCGAGTTCTCTCTCTCTCTCTCTCTCTCTCTCTCTCTCTCTCTCTCTCTCTCTCTCTCTCTCTCTCTCTCTCTCTCTCTCTCTCTCTCTCTCTCTCTCTCTCTCTCTTTCGTTCTTCGTATACCCTTTTCCTTCCCTCTCGTATTGCCAAGGATACATCTTCGAAGTATCCAGATACGGATACAGAATACTGGACAAAACGTGTATGTTCAACTTCGAACCCTGAATACTAATTTCCAACCGATAGATACGTTCCGTACTTGGAAAATATTACGAACGTCCATATGTAATATTATCTGGATATCTTGTTTTTCTTTTTTTTTTTTTTTCGAAACTATCGTTTTTTTTATGACATTATTTTATTTCAAATTGGATCATTTTAAAGTGTACTTCTTTCAATTTTTTTTACCGGAGTAAGAAATGACGTAACATGCAGTAATTAATTAATTGATTAATTTTTTCTTGGATTTATTTCTTTTTTTTTTTGTTTTTTGTCGTTATTTGTTTTTTTTTCTTTTTTAAGAAATAAAAATAGTCGAAAAATTCTACGTATGTACGCATCTCGTTTTATTATTTGACATTTTGTCGAATTCATAATTTTTTTGTCATTCAAGATATATTTTATTTTTTAATAGCACAAAAGGAGAAAGAGAGAGAGAGAGAGAGAGAGAGAGAGAGAGAGAGAGGGAAATCAAATAATAATTTTTGTCTCGTTTGACAAAGCGAAAATATTTAAAGAAAGAAATAAAGATAAGTATTGATAATCGAAGATGTACCAATCGAGAGACTTTAAGATGATGATATTTCATTAATTCAATGTTTCTATTCTGTTTCTACTTCATTTTATTTTTTTTTTACGAAAAATGAAAATATTTGAAAAAGATCTTATCAAGAGAGATTGATCGTAACGCATTCTCAGTTGATCTCTCTGAAATCTTTTACTCAGAATCTCAGGATCATCGATGAATTTTGCAAAAGTAGAAGCGTCTCATTAGAGGAACGACATTTTGTTTTTTGTTTTTTTTTTCTTCTTCTTTCTTCCCCGAACGAACCGATCTTTCCTGTTTCAGTAAGCAGGCTGTATTCGACGGGAAGAAGGCCATTAGAGGAGGCATACCATTTGTCTTCCGTAAGTATAAAATACGAAAACAAAATAGATCGTTTCAGTCACTGCAAATGCAACTTGGAAATGGTTTAAATGTTGAAAAACGACAATGCAATATGAGAGATATAAAAAAAATAAAAAAAAAAGTAAAAAAGAAAAATTAAGGAATCAAAAAGAGAAAATAGTTATACGATTAAATATTGATTTTTACTATCACGTTTCACGAGAAGAAAAATCACATCTCAATTCACTTCGTTTATATTTTTACGCTGGTAAATCAACGTTCTTTCGTTATTAACTTCATCGTTAGAGTCGTTTTATTCTCGTCGACACACATACATATATACATATATACATACATATATGTATATATCAATGTCTGTGTGTCTGTGTGAATCTTCTTAAAAAATCAGTAGAAAGATCTGAAATAAAATTAAAAGAATAAGACTCCATGTTTTCTTTTCTTTTCTTTTCTTTTCTTTTCTTTTCTTTTCTTTTCTTTTCTTTTCTTTTCTTTTTTCACGCGATTTCATTTTGATAATCATTTATTCATCCTTGATCGAAATGATAATATCACTTTATATCTATTATTAATTCGATCGTTTAATTGATTGAATGTTCTTTTTCAAAATACATAATTTATTATATTATTCAAAAAAAAAAAAAAAAAAAAGAAAGAAAAAGAATGAAAGAAAAAAGAAAAAAATTCGCAGTATGTATACAGATATACAGGTGTCTAAATCTAATCTTCGAAAGAAAAAAAAAAAAAAAGTAGATAAAAAAATAATCAATAACATCAATTTTCGTGAGGGAGGAAAAAAACAAACAAACAAACAAACAAAAAAACACAAAGTCAAAGGAATTAAAAGAATAAAAATTTCCAGCACAATTTGGACCCTGGACGTTCGGTCCACCTCATGGATTTGCCAGGATCGTTCGTTGGAATGTTGAAAAATCGCCAGAACGATTGCCTAGCGGAGACGTCGAAGCAATATTCTCGATAATGGATAGCGAATTTACACGGTCAATGTGGAACTACTCGTTCAGATTAACGTACAGGTTAATCCTACGAGAGAAAGAACTTCACTTCCACATTGGCGTATATAATCCCAGCAAGGATCATACCTTTAGCTTTAATATTTTGCTACACACCTATTTCAAAGTTCCAGACGTTAGGAGATGCCAGATTACAGGATTGCATGGATGCACATTTATTGACAAGGTAATCGATCATTTTTTCTCTTTCTTTTTCTTTATTCTCTTTTTCTATTTTCTTTCGATCACTTTTGATCTTTCGTATCTTTTCTAAATTCTTTTTTTCTTTTTTAAAAGACCATAATTAAAAAATGTATTATCAATGATCGCTAATCCATTCACTAATTTTATCGACAATAATCGAAATTATATTAAATAACAATGTTCATTAAAAGTTTTTTTTATTTATTCATTGATCCGTCATTTGATAATCGAAAAATTCTATTACATATATATCGATATTAACTAAAAACTATTTTTATTCATTCGTTATTAGAAAAATAATCCTTATCGTTTTAAGAATATATTATAGCTCTATTTCTCTACGATCTATTTCTAACAACTTTTTCTAAATTATAACGCGCTATAGAAAAATACGCTACATAATTTTTATATTATAATCGTTATTAATAAAACGATTAAATGAAAAGAGAGAGAAAAAAAAGAGCAATTGACAGCATTTAACGCTATAGTTAAAATGATAAGGGATTAAATAAATAAAAAAAAAAAAAAATAATATAACGAATTAAATAAAATAAAAGATACGTATCTTCGTAATTCGAATTTCAAACGAAATAATCATAATCTGTATATAAATTAAAAAAAGAAATAAAAAAAGAAAAAAATAAATAAAAAAAAAGAAAAAAAAAGAAAAAAAAAGAAAAAGAAAGAAAGAAGAAAAAGAAATATTGAATCAACTTCCAATCGATTTAATATCAAGTCGATAATTGAATGATAAAATTGAAATTATATTTAGACAAGGGATAACCAGATCTTTCAAGAAGGTCGTGACGTGGTAACAGTATGCGAATGGACCGATAGAATCTATCAGAATACGCAGGGTGAGCACATCATCACGAACGTAGTTTCCGGAAGGAAGATGCGCGTACAAAAGTACAATTTCCCGGATACAGTGGTTTCGAATCCTTGGCAAGAGAAGGCTCGTGATATACCAGATTTTGGAGACGATGAATTTCCTAATATGATATGCGTCGAGAGTGGACACGTCAGTAGTCCGGTGATACTTTTACCGGGCATGACTTTTGAAGCCAGCCAGATATTGCAGGTATTATTTCCTATGCAATTAATAAAGAAAGAAGAAGAAGAAGAAAAAAAATATAAAGATTATACGATATTCGAAGAATTCATGTGAAATATTATTATCGATTAGACGGTTGATCATTCAGTATTCATTTTATTTTGTACTTTTCTTATCTTCATTTTGATTCGTTAATAATAATAAATGTTTATTTGCAAATTTATATAGAATATACACATAGCTATTTTTTTTTATTATTATTTTTTTGTTATCATTATTATCATTATTATTATTATTATTATTATTATTATTATTATTATTATTATTATTATTATTATTATTGATTTTATTTATATTAACTAAAGTTAATTGTCGATGTACTTAACAAATTGCCAATTAATTAAGATTTCCTCATTAACACATATACATGTATAAGTGTGTGTGTCTTTTTCATATTTTCACATATAAATATTCATATTTAAAATATTTTTATTATATATTTATAAATGTAAAACAGAAATACGCAGTATACATGCTAATTATTAATATTGTCAAATTGATGTGACATTTTAATAATTAACACTTTCAAAATATTTAGAATCGTGACATTTTAAAAACAGTTCACATTTCTTCTAAATGCTTACAGTTCTAAATACTTAGAGAGAGTATTTTAAAAAATGCATTATTTTCAAAATGTCAATGAAAATTTCAAGATATTATTATTGTATCCATGAAAAGTCGTTAAACAAATCTATTGTCGACGAAAAGTCGGTCGTCATATTAATCCTTTCAATATTGTCAAGGCTTAACTAGTCTCGATATTTCTTCGAGCTCGTTAAACTTCCCCTCGTTAAGCTACTCATGGCCACGTTTGGATGTCTTATTAGTCGCTGCTCTTTTCAAAGGCTAGCCGATAATTAATTGCCTATCTTTGGATCATGGTTGTTTTCTACTTTGACGGTGCGATAATGATCAAAATTGAACGTTGATCAAAGGCGCCAAAAACATATCGCGTACCTATCACAAATTTTTCGTATTTAAATTTGTCCTTGTCTTCGTCTTCGTCTTCATCTTCGTCTTCGTTTTTGTCTCTGTCTTTATTTTTCTCTTTGGTTTGATCCATTTTCTCCAGACACTTTTAAATAACTCCTTAATTGAAAATTGAACCATCGTCTACTTCGAATCATGTACATTCTTAATCAGACAAAAAATCATTTAACAATTCCATTTTAATTTGGTCACTGATCGAAGGATTATTAGTCAAAACATAGACGATCAGCCATTAATAAAATTATACAGGAAAAAAAATACGTAAGTACGAAAAAAATCATTCATAGATTACAATTAACATTATTGAACAAAGAAATGATACAAGAAATATATAAAATTAGTTATACAAAATTATTGATATTAATTATGAAATCATCTCATTGATTGTACCAATAAAAATATTCTAATACAAAAAAAAGAAAATGAAAAGAAATAACGGTACATACATAATTTTTAAATAATTCGAAATTCTCTCAAAACGTTTGAAATCGGTAAAAATATCGCGCCATTTTCATTCGATTGACAATTCTTATCAATAATATAAGAGGGCGTTGTTCTACGAATCGATTCGAACCGCATTCGATTTCATTTAATTTTTCCTTTCTTCTTTTTCTCGAATATACGAAAACGTGAATATATTTCTGAAAGAGCGTGCAATAAAACACGTTTGCACGTATCAGATCCAATCGATAAAACCGTAAAACTCTGTTTAAAATGTAAGAGGACGATTTCGTATTCTCTGATCCGCCATTGTGTGGGCCATTGGCGATATCCGCCATTTTTGACGTATCTATCCGCCGCCATTTTCTTTCAAAAGGATGCGATACGACAGACAAATCACACTTTGCGTTCTACCAAGCCGTTTGGATATTTTTCTTTAAGCTTTTTACCTCTACCTACGACTAAGCGCGCTGGCAATGACAAATATTCTCAGATAACGTAGCCAGTCGTAAAAAGCTTGTATTTGTCTTCGAGACTGCTCTTTTCTTTTTATTTTTCTTCTTATTCTTCTCAGGCGACATTCTGAGTCGTCTTCTTTCATCAAGATACAAAATTTTTAATCGAAAGTGTTAAAAGAATTATGATGCTTCTAATAGATTTAATGGATTTATTATTTTAACACATTCTTATGCGGTCACGAATAATATATATATATATTTAATCAAAAATGATAAATTTTTATTATAATGAAATTACAAAAAATTGCATAAAGTTAGTACACAATATACGTTTAAAAATAGTGACAACTTTTAGTTATGGTAATTTGATAGTTTGTCTTTGAAATCAATGAAGATGATTCGACTGGTCATTAATATTTGCGATAATAATTTACATATATATGATATTCAAAATACAAAAAAAAAATATAAATTTTATTTCATTCACTATTTTATTTGTTAACAAAAACAATGATTATTAATAATTATTATGTAGTTATTTGTGTTATTGAAAAGTTTTTATTTAATTTTTATTTTTATGGTGTTATAAATTATTTATAACACCATTCAATTTATAATAATTCATTTATAAATTTTGCAGCAGTTGATGCGTAAATTAATATTTATATATATATATAATCGTAAGCTAGTTTTATAATAATCATTTTTTTCTCAATGTTTAACTAATAAGAACATAACTTTCAAAGTTCCGAACAATCTCGCACAGGATGATTGAAAGTTTCTGAGAAGGATGAAATTCAAAACGCATCTTCTCAGTTTGCATTTGCGAACGTGTATAAATTACCTTCGCCTCTAACACGAGGCTTCTTTATTTTCTTTATGAAAAATCAAGAAAAATGATAAAAATCGATTTTACTATCAAATAACAATTTTCGATAAATCTAATAACAATTACCATTTACTATTACTGATATAGGAAAAATAAAAAAGAAACGTATAATTGTTTTTATTATAAAATAAATAATTGCAGATATAATATAATAGATAAAGGAAAAAAAAAAGTAATAATCGAAAATTTGACATGCATTTGACAGAATATGATGTAAATAGAATAATAATAATAATTTTAGATAAAATATTATTGAAAAATTCTTTAGGATGCACTTCCTATTTTTCTAAATAAAAATTAGAAACTTAAATGATTATATGTGATTTATATATATATATATATATATATATATATATATATATATATATATATATATATATATATATGAACAAAACTTAGAGAATTAAATAATGATTTGTGTGTGTGCATATATATATGTATATAAAATATATGTCCTCACTTAAATGGGACATCTACATTACTTTTGCTGTTATTAAAAGTAAGAAAAAATAACTAAGAGGAGTTTACATAGTTTCAGAACGAACATCTGGCAATGATAAAAAATATTCCTCTTTCCCAAGGTCATTTGGAATACCATTTCAAGGTCATCGTCATTTCTTTTCTCATATTAACATCTGTTTTTTATAATGCGACGTTTTTATAAGTCGACATCAAAACTATCTATAACATCGTAAGATCGAAATAATCTAAAATAAAGAAAATGGAACAATGTAAAAATAATAAAACAAAAATAATTAATCAATTTATTTCATTAGACGTTCAAATCAATACATTTATGCAAACTATAAATAAACGATTAAATGTCATATCTTACTACTATAATTTTATCATGCTTTCAGTAACAGCGAAAATAATATAAATGTTGAACTTAAATAAGACACCATATATAACAATTATTATTTGCTATTATATTGAAAAAATAGAAATGAAAAAAAATAAATAATTGCATAACATAAAATATAGGAAGGGAGAAAGAAAAATAATCAAAAAAAGAAAAGAAAAAGTTTGACATATACATGTACGTATATAAAAGATCATATGTAATATAATATATTAATAATATAATATATTAAATATAAAAAGAATAATATAATATATTAATAATATTTAATGAATGATTATTAAGATATACTTTTTAAGTCATAAATGATAAAAAGTAGAAAAGAAAAATAATTAAAAATTTGATATATGTTTAATAGGTGATGTGAGTAGAGGGTGGACCAAGTTCTCACGCAAGCAGTGCCACCAGCAGTAGCGGTGCATTGCTTCCGTCCGTCGTCTCCTCGGCTTCGAGTACGACCGTTTGGTCGAGCACCAATCCAGGTTGGCGTTACATGCCACCACCACCACCGCCTCCACCTCCACCACCACCACCACCACTACCACCACCGCCGTCACAGTCAGCAATCTCTTCCGCGCATTCAACTCAGCATCATCTCTCGCAACAGCAGCAGCAGCAACAGCAACAGCAACAGCAACAACAACAACACGCACATCACCATCATCATCATCATCATCATCACCATCCTCCTCCTCCTCCTCATCACCATCAACAACATCAACATCAACATCAACATCATCAACAACAACATCCCTCGCAACTACATGCTCACTGTATCGCCCAAACTTGCACCATTTGCTCTCTCAATCTTTAAATCATTCAAATATGAAATTTTTTACATTATACAATCGCACAATTCATTTGGAGTTACTTTTGCAAGAAATACGCGAAACTCATCGATGGATTTTTCAAACTTATAATAAATTTCTCCTATGCTAGGACGTATATATATATATATATGTATTAGGTTGATTCATAAATATAAGTAACAATTTATTGTAATAAACTTTTTACTTATTTAGGAATCAACCCAATAAATATATTTTCTAACCAGAATTCTTATATAGTTATTATGAATTGATATATAAATAAGTTTCAATTCGCTTCTTTATGAATGAACACAATTTCAAACTCGATTTTAAGTTTACTTTTAGCTTCTATCCTTCTTTTTGTTTTTTTTTTGTTTTTTGGATTTATCAAATAATCTTTTGACTCAGTTAATGTTGCGAGGGAACGTAGTATTGTTCTTATCGTCTAAATATTACTGTTCCACTAATGATAGTAATTGTAACGTTCTAAAAAAAAGAAAAAGAAAAAACAAAATCGAACAATTTCTTTAAGTCCTATTGTATCGCGTGCGTTCCTATTTTAATGTACATTCCAATTGTCAACAAGTAATTTACATGTTTCATAGTTTACAATTTCCATTCCATTAAGCACATTCCATTTTATTAATCGTTTTCGTTGAAAAAAAAAAAAAACTTCCCAATAGTTTTAGCTGCTTATTCGAGATTTCAAGATCTTCATAATTATATTCCTAAATCTATGAAAAATTAATCTAACTGTGTGTGTTGGCGTATTTTCAAAGCGAGAAGATGGATGGAACGAATTCGAAAAGAGAATAAATAAATAAATAAAGAAATAAAAAAATCTTGCTCGCTATTGTCTTGTTAACAATTTCGTTATCACACGTATACACGACGAATGGCTTTGTAAAAGCTTGCGCGAATATGTTTCTAATATTATTAATATTCAATTGATTTATTCCTCCATGAAGGCTTTTCTATAATTATTATTATAATAATGTGACCGCAATTGTTATTATAATAATGTGACCGCATCTCCAATGGTTGTGCTTGACGAGTATTTTTTTCTGTTTGTAGTTTATATATATATATATATGTATGTGATATGTATATATATATGTATTTCTACTTTCGTGACATTTTTTGGCTCACATGTATTTGTCTCAGGTCATAATAGTATATCTTTGAAAGGATTATCAATAATCGATATAATCATAAACGAAGAAATGATTAATGAGATAGATCGTTGTCGAGTCAGAAAAAATGTCAAGAAAACGTTGCTGTCGTTTTTCTATTCTGCTTCTTCGTTATTAACGACAGAACTGGCTTCATTATGATCGACCTATTACGTATTATAAAACAGTTCACATAGGAGAACATACAATAACAGATATGGTGCTAATATTACAAATATGAAGTCGTTTATAATAGATAAACGAGAATATGTAGGAAAAACTCGTAAACAGAGTAATTCTCTCTTAGAAAGATCTGCTGCGACTTCTCAAAAATAATCTTCTTGCAACATTTTCGCCACATTAACTCTAATTATACATACTTATGTGAACGTTTCCGTCTTTAGGAAGAAAAAAAAAAAAAAAAAAAAAAGAAAAAAAAGGAAAATGAAAAAAAGAAAAAAGAAAAAAATAAATAATACAAATAAATGAAAACGATACATCATCGAGATAGATACGTAAGGGAATATTTATGCCATAAATACGTGACTATAACATTAACGTAAAAAAAAAAAAAAAAAAAAAAAAAAAAAAAAAAAAAAAAAAAAATGAAAAAAAAAGAAAAAAAAAATATAATAATTAGAAATCTGTATGGAATACTTGTAAAGATTGTCTATTCTACATTCGTAAAAAAAAAAGTCCTTGTAGAAACGAGATGTTTCTTTTTTCTTTTTTTTTTTTTCTTTCTTCTCTAAAAAATTTTCTTCAACATATTATATAGATTATTCCTTTAATATTCTCGGATCGTTATTAAATATTATTCATGTAAAAATTTAATCATTCTGTGTATTCTTAAATAAGACACATTTGCGATTACTCTTATTCGTCTCAAATACATTAATAAAATTTTGTTAATTTCAATGTTTTTCGATGAAAAGCAATAGAACTTTTGTATCTTTCGTTATTTTTAAATATTAAACGATCCGGAAAAAAAAAATATTGTTAAAGAATCTAATTGATTTAAATCAATTCAATTTCAGACACTTACAATTATATAAAAATAGAGATATCTTTTTTAATCTTATCGTTTCATTATCGTATTAAATCGATATCGAGTCCAATTTTTTATCGAACAAGTTGCGTGCAAAAAAAATATGTACAATTTAATAGATAAATTAATAATAATTTTATCAATTATCGCACCAGAACGAAAAGTTTTTACGCTGATAGTATAATTTGATTGCTATATGAAATTTATTCAAATTATAATAAAAATATCATTCTATATACTTAAAATTAACTAAGTAATTTAGTTATTACATACGATATTAAAGTGCAACATAATGTGAAGTTTTTAAATAAATGTAAAGAAAAAAAAAAAAAAAAACAAAAAAAAAGAAAAACGAAAAAAAAAATATCCGTTTTTTGCGTATAACGAATATAACAAATTTTCAACAATAAAAAATGGAGATAATCTCTCTGGCTTATTCATGTATTAAAACGCCAAAATATAATTACAATATAAATGGATTCGAATTAACTAGGAAAATTATTGACTGTTCAGTTACGTAAAAAGAAAAAAAAAAGAAAAAAAAAAGAGATAGGAAAAGAATACGACTATATCATAAGGGTTTTTGGTCTTTAGAGGCTAGACACTACGTCCATGGTTCAATATAACATAACATTTCTCTTTCCTTTCCCATATTAGCATTAAGATTTGGTCTTCCACTACAACATTTATGAGATCATTTGACTTTTGACAGAAGTAATGTTTATATTCCAAGTATTTGTAATTATATATAAGGAAATTTCAGAATTATACAATAAAATAGTATGTTAAAAATGTACTCTTTTGGGAAAGTGCAATAAAATGTAAAAAAAAAAAAAAAAAAAAAAAAAAAAAAAAAAAAAAAAAAAGTATATATAAATTGCAAGCTCTTACGAAATATTTCTACTAATCGTAAAAAAATTTGAACATAAATAACATTAAATATTTTTCACAATCTTATTTTAATAATTTATCTATTATCGAGAGATAAAAGGAAAATATAACAGCACATATTGATTTCGAATATTAATAAATTTGCATAATTTATTATAAGGAAATGACAAACATACATATCCTTTCTCTTTATCGTTCTGTGCTTTCACTTAATTACACAACATATTAAATAACTGAAGTTTAAATTTACACAAAATTATTACTACAAGTATCATATCATTTAATTAATATCCTTAAAGTCTACTACGGTCAAATAGATTTCCTTTGACCATCAAGATATAAGTAACAATAGTTTTATACATATTGACTATTATTACGAATAATATGTAAATAACATCACGCAGAGCTAAGTCCAGTTATACATCATAATGTTACATACAGAGAATAATGAAGAAATTCTCTAAGATCAAAGACATTGTGTACTCTTTATGTGCTCGCAATGGATGTAACTTTGATGCATTATGATCGTCAATTTTAAAAACATACTTGCAAAGTTTGATTCCGTCGTTAGTAAAAATTTACAGATAGTTTTTAAAAAGTTATCTTGCAGCTTCCTTAGTCTTCTCTTGTTGCTCTTGTTGCTTTTTCAGTTGTTTTTCTCTCATTCGTTCCGCATCTCTGCAATATCATATCATTAATACTAATCGATTATCCACAATATATATATATATATATATATATATATATAACAATGTGCTTTTTATTTTTGTGATTATTTTAAGTTCCAACGGAACAAAATTATAAACAGAGATAAAAATAAAAAGAAACGTATAACCTACCGTGCCTTTCGTTGTTCTAATGAAAGACCTTTATTGCTTTCCTGCTCAGCGGCAGCTTTTTTAACAGTTTTCTTCATATTCTTAGCTCTTGCTAGTTCACGTTGATTTCCTCCTATATTCAATAATTCAAATCTTACTTATATAAATGTATATGTATATATTATATTTTACACACATACACATACACAGGACACAGACATTATGCTTTATCTTAATAAAAAAATACACAATTATCTCTTATTTATTATCTCTTATAAAAAAAAATAACAATAAATAATTCTATTGAATCCACAAAATATAATGAAACGACGTTTCAATAAATCTTTGAAAGAGTCATCCTCAAAATCGAAATTACTTTTGGACTTTTCTAGAACATTCAAACTTTCTCCGTGTTCGAACGAAGAACAAATAAAATTCGATAAAATTAAACAAAAACATCAAAGATTATATCACAAAATTACATTTATTATTCGCAATAATGACTTTGCGACGTAATCGATGGTTAAGAATACAAGAGAAAAAGAAAAAAAAATCACAAAATACGCCAAACACCTCAAAATAGCTAATACTAATCTATCATTGTACTATTAAATAAGAACTTGGTAATCTCGAAGAAACAATTTCGTCGTTATTAAAAAAATTTCTATTAAATATAATATAAGATAAATAAATTGATTTAAGAGATATTTCATCTTAAGAAAATTATTGGACGAGCACATTGTGATTATTTCATTTACGTGACAATAGCACAATTGTGA